GGACACTTTTGCACACCTCAGTACTTTGAAAAAAAAAAGTAGTTTTAAGCAGACTCGAACCTAGTCAAAATAGGTTCGAACTCTTTGAGAAATGTAGGCGATACTTCCAAACATAGTCGAACCTTGACAAAGTGGATTCAAACCTTCTGCGAGTATTCTAAGCAGAAGATTTGTATTATGTGCGATTGTGTGATTTGCTTCCGCTGAAAAATAAAAACAAGTTGTTTTTCAAGGTTCAGTTGACATAATCTCGCGATCGTGTGACAAGCGACTCGCCTCTACCATAGCTTGGCTAACGCTGCGAGATGATACGTACAACACTGCGATGACACGAAGTACAACAAAGTCTGGTTCAATGTACAGAACACTGTACACTTAAACATTAACAATCCCAATATAAACAAAAATAACAAATTAAATCCGCATCTCCCTAATTTACCCTGAAACCCTAAAGTCCCCAGTTAATCGCTGAAGTCCCCGTGGTAGTTATCGTTCATCAAAAAATAGTTTCCTCCAACTCCAGAGGAATTTACCGTGACGCCAGCCCCCTGCGATCTGCCTGCTCCCAGAAAGTTAACCATTTTTAAGAGGCGCAACGGTTTATCAGTGCGGAAGAGTTGATTTAAAGGGAACGGTGACTGACAGTACCAAAAGGGCGCGATAGGTGGCGGCGAAGACGAAGGTAGCCGAAACGGGAGGGGCGAAGGCGGCGGTCGTGATAGAGTAGAGGAACTCCTCCGAAACTACATCAACTTCCTGTTCCGGTATCTCAGGGCGCAATCAAATTACCCACTCACTTTCCAAGACATTATCGAGCTCCGGTGTCTACGGGGGAGAGAGCGCGAGCTCCCTTTCGTCGGCAAGACTGCCACGAGAGGGAAACTGCGGGTTACGCTCCTGAATCAGGCTTGAAGTCAACGACGGACGGGGTCAGCGTCTCGAGTTTCTCTGGGCAGCCAACACTAATTGCTTTTGTCTCGACGGCGCGCTAAGGAGGCCGCCCCCGGACCCGTTGCACTCAAACCACTCGGACCAGGTATACACTGCGTGACACCACCTGAGAAAATACGTACACGACTATTGGAGCGTGTCACTGGCGGGTGCTTTTGGGCGGACACGTGATACATCGTGTGCCGTGATGAAACCAGAGAACTATTTTTTTGCAAGTTTAGAATCACATCAACAACAAGGGTTATCAGCGAATGTTGATGGAATTTAAATACACATTGTGGGTAAGCGATTAAAAACTGTAGAATCAAGAGGGATGATTCAGCAAGGTCTTCATAAGTTAAGAGTACCAATAATCTTGCAGAATGTTATCAACGTGTCCTGGCACAATGTCGAGGTTAGTGCTTCTGTGAGGTTGTTCTTAATATTTAATATTCTTCTTACTTGGATATATTTCCGATATTCGAGAATAATGTGTTTGATAGTTATAGGTGTACGACATGGTTCACACAGTGTGGGAGGGTTATTATTGCCACTTCTTGTTTCCTATTAAATTTAGAATTTGATCTAAGATCATAAAAGTAAGCAATTGATATATGGAGTAGGCTTGCTTTATAGTTTTTCCATGTTCGGTTCCAAGAATGCTTCCACAATGATTGAGTATGTGTGTATGGGGTTATTTAAGAATGCTTCACAATGATCCAGTAAACTTGTTTAGCGTATATGTACAGTAAATCATTGATGAGTTTTCGAAGTCTCCTCGGCATTGGACATTAAATATTTCATAAACTAAAGGTACATATGCGGCTGAAACAAATATCATTGACTTCCGAATTCCAGGCTCTATCACTGCACTAAACCTCATTAACAAGTCAGTGTTACACCTGGGGACCTCTCCTTGTTAGTGCCGAGGAGTCTTCGAACACTCATCAATAATTTACTCTATGTCGGGACATTTCGATCCGAAATTTTGATACGTGCTATGAGTACACTTCAATTTGTTGAAAAATTACCACAAAAGTGGGAAACAATAGATATAGAGAAAGGTTGTCAAACTTGGACCATCGTCTAGGTTGGACCAGTAGGTATTGTAACTTGTCATGTGTAAGCAATTTGCACCATATTGTCCAACCTAGACGATGGTCTTTGGACGAATTTGTTCAGCAACCTTCCCCCATTCTCGTAAGGAACAGCTTTCTTAATTTTTCATGTGTATTCCTATTTCTTGTTACTTAACTCTTATACTTTTATTGAAGTCTAGATGGACTGAACGTTATCTTCAACAACATTTATGACAAACCTTACCCTTTATGTGTATAGATACACTACCGAGTATAAGTATTTGGACCCCTGGTAACTTGATCATAGCTCAGAAATTAAACAATTTGGAGATAAAAAGTTATTGATGTAATGAAATTATTCCATTACATTCATCCAATTTGTCATTGCATGTTAGTTCAAACATCTTGCATTCTGGCTACAAAAGTGACACAAAGAAAACGTTTCTTGAGTTATCATTGTGAAGAAGTTGCAGAAACACTGTTCAATCAATCATCAGAAGTGTAATTTTTTAGCTTCTGATATACTATCTATAAGGATCTGATATACTAATACATGAAAACAAATTTTATTCTATCATGATGTTCCACTACATATGTATACACTGTAGGGAACTGAGAAATTGGGAAGCGGTACGTTATGCCACTGCACTAGAGCGACTTAAAACGAATTCAATCTCCTCAGCTCCCAACTTTACGTATATCGCAGTACTAATACCAAACGATAAAAGGAGTGCAGAACACTGTTTATCTGGGATTCAAAATTCATTCCGTCAAAAATAAGTAAATATCTGTATACAGTTGATTTGTAATGTTTATTGAATTGTATTGTTCCACCATTAAAAGAGCTTTTATAACTCTTTTCGGTCCTACATCGAAACAGGCTCGACAATAAATTTTGTTTGCAATTACTACGCTGTTTCCTAATCTAAAATATACTTGTTCATAATTTAATAACCGCAGCGTATGTGAATACTATCTTAATACTTCAAAAATGGAATGAATATATTATTCGGTTGAAGTGTAGGAATGTAATCAGATTATACGAAATTTACTGGAGTACTAAAATAGAGTATCTCTGTGGATCGTTAAGGCTTAATACTCATCGGCACAACTAATATTGGAGTAAGAGATATTCTTATCCTGGGTATTTCGAGTTCAGTGAAATCAGATTAGTCTGATTCATTGACCTGCGAAATATCGCAGTTGCTCGAAGTGGGGCGAATCAACAACAGGGGTCGACTGGGCCGGTTGGACAGAGGATAGTAGAATACCTTTGGGTAGTTATCTATGCAGGGAAACCGCAGCCACGGCCGACCACCTGCTCCAATTACCCTTGTTAAGGGCATGTCACCCCTCTCCCCCATTCTGCGAGCGCGTACCAGGCCTTCGCTTTCATCTCGGTCCGTTCCCTATGAAAATATACACGCGTCACCTGTACACTTCACGACGACAGCAGAGACAAGGCTATGATATAGCTTTCGTGACTGAAAACACAAAGCTCACCGCAGGGAAAATGTCGACGACGGGAAGGGAGCAAGTGTCAGGGGGACTACAAAAAAAAAAAAGGTCATGGAGTATCGTAAAAAACTAAATTGGTTCAGTGAAATTTAATCTTGATCAGAAATGACTGATCTGTACGCGGACAGAAAATGGGGTAAAAAGAAAAGATGAATGTTAGGTCGTTCGGAAAGTTCGTGCAGTTTTAAAAATGCAATGTTCTTACTAAAATAATTCTTAATACGTACTTACTATCTGGAAGCTATAGGTGCTCGAACTGATGCTGCTCAACTTAAATACAGTAAATTCCGGATGAGTGTTTGAAGGCTCCTCGGCACTGACAAGGAGACGTCCCCAGGTGTAACGCTGACTTTTTAATGACGTGTAGCACAGTGATACAGCTTTGAATTCTAAACCCAATAATATTTGTTTCTGCAGCTAATGACCATTAATTTATAAAATATTTAATGTTCAGTGCCAAGGAACTATGGAACACTCATCGAGGATTTCCTGTATAAGTATGTCGTTAAATAGCAAAACTATGTATTTAAGGGTTAATGCATCCACTAACATAAAGTGATAAGAACATTGCAAAATATGCAGTCAGTATAAAACGTCCTGTTTTCTCTAGTTAAAAGTATTTTAATACTTATAAACGGAAGCGTACGTTTTTCCAAAGTTATATCACCAATTTTTTCAAACGTGAGTTCCAGAATTTCGAAATTGTATAAATTTTTAAACCAACCAAGTAAGGTAGACATATAATACCTGATAGCAAGTAGACAAATAATGTCAATACTCTCCTCGATGAAAGCACCAGCCCGTTCGATTTTTCTCCGAAGAAAGGCACTGTGTGTAGGGTATACTTTCGTTGATGTCTTGCTCCGTTCTCCAGGCACGATCGCACCGAAGTCAAAATGACAGCTTCGAAAATAATTTTACAGGGAGAAAGGGGCCGAACGCCTATCCGCGAGGCGAAAAAGGAAACGTGTCGTGGTTTCAGGTTCGAAGACATTCGACGACGCCGTCGACTCTTCGATAATAGCTTCCTGAAAGTGTGTAACCGCTTTGGTACGAAGGCATCAAGTGGTCGCAGCTTCTTCTCCCGTAAAAGTTTCGGAAAGTTTCCCCGCGACAGCTCAAGTCGATTGACGTTCTTCGATCGCGAACTTCGTCGACGATCCTACAAAGGGACGAGTCCGAACTTCGTTCGACGACACTTGTCCTAACCTTTTCTACTTTGGCCCGTAGTTAGGACCATGTTGCTCCCGTCCGAACGATAATTGCATTATATCGAAAAACATATAATAAGCTAAACTTTCACTGTGTACAAACGCGTGTATTCATTATAGCTTCCATTGGTAGTCACACAACAGCAATAAAGGGACTTCCATTAAGATGTGTCATTTTAAATTTCGCGCTATTTTTTATTTGTGAATGTTAGAGCTGTCATTCGTCGAGGCGTGAGTAGTAAAGACTGTACTGTTAACAAAAATGAGACGATACACGCTTGCACAACGTATTCAAATTGTGAAAATTCACTATAAAAATGATGAAAATTTCGCGGAGACAATTGGTAAATGTCATACTCTTTTCTGTCGAAATAAAAATCCTTGTTTGGATCTCCTCCAAGTTTTGGATGTAAAGAACTCAAAGCGTGCTCGGCCGGTCAGATCTGTTGAAAATATCGCAGCTGTAGCTGAAAATGTTGCAGCAGATCCGAATTTATCGATTTCAAGGAGTTCCCAACAATTGGGTATCGAACAAACTAGCCTGCACCGTATATTGCACAAAGATCTGAGCCTAAAGGCTTACAAAGTCCAACTGACACAAGAAATTATGCCAGCAGATCAACAATTGCATTATTACGCTAGAAATATCCCGAATGAATAATTTCTCGAAATGGAGACTTCAATTGGCTGCCCAAATCATGCGACCTAACACCATTAGACTTTTTTCTTCGAGGCTACCTCAAAGATAAGGTCTACTCCAATGCTTCAGCAACTATTGAAGCACTAAAATACAATATCAAAGCTGTGATTCGCGAAATCGAGCCGAATTTGTGCGAAAACAATTATGAAAAATTTTCGCAATTTTTCCACACAGAGTAGGTGTCTTAATATTTATAACTGGCAATTTATACGCGTAGGGCCGAAAGCGTTATCTTCTCCTTAACCTCGTCCTAAACCCCGATTAACGTCAGCTCAATATTTATGTAGACGATCTGTGAAAATAAAGAATCACCGATGGAAACCGTAATTCCCACACTTTTATTGACTTTTAATAACTAGGACTGACTGTCTTCCGACAGACAACTCCAGGGTACAGAGTCCTCTGACCCGTCTTCCACAAACAGAACGACGTTTCATGAAGTCCGATTTCAGTACCAGAACCCGCGGGAAAATATTGCTTTACGATTTTCCACGGACTAACCGGTCCAGCGAGGTTGGCGCTCATGAATTGAAATTTAAAGACTGTGAAACAACCCAGACCGCTGACTGAGAAAGCTTTGAATTTCTAGAGGAATATTTCCGTTTTCGTTTGAAACTTATTGGAGAAAATTTTAAATTTTCATTATGTGAATTTAAGGTCGCAACAACGTCTTGGTTATTAGCGACCACAGTCGACGGTTGTAGCATATTTCACAATTGTTTAAACTCTCTCCAGAAAGTTATCTATGTTCCCAATTTCTTTAAAGAGTTGCACCCACTTCTGGACGAATGCCTTCGACTTCCTATGTGCCTTTGCGGCTTGCCCGAAGGATAATTTTGGTCCTTTCAAACGATCAACGAAAAACACTGCTTTATAACGCTTGAGACATTTAATATTCATTGTCCACAAAGTCAACTTGCACGAAATTAATGATTAGCGTGGTGACAAAGAAGACATTGAACAAAAGACCTGAATCCAAGTTTTCAAACGCTTTAAGATAGATGGCGCTGCAATTAACCGTTTCACAAATTAAAATTAACAATAAGCCAGCTTAATGGCGCCATTTTCACAAAATAATTCCATATAAGTCCGTTCGAATATTATAATTAGCCTGCGGATTTTTGTGCAAAATCACATTTTAGGAGGTTGTTTATAAAGACAAAAACAAAAGTGGGAATTTCTTTCTTCCTTTAAGTATCTTATTGGGCTCAAAAGGAAATAGAAAACTCGTTGCATCTGATGAAAGTTTTGTCCTTCATTGTATTTCACAGAAACCTATAGGCTACAAATGCATAAAATCCGCAGTCTAGTTATAATTGTTCAAATCCGTTTACTACCGCCATCTTTGAAATATGTCGCCACGGCAGTTCGCACACGATAGCGATAATACACCGTCGTCTCGTGGAAACTACGAGCTAATTTGTTGCAACCCAGGGCAAAATGCGCCCTCGGCCCCGGTGTAAACCACTTCGCTGGTTATGATTCAATCAAGTGTAAACCCAGAAGCAGCTGGATTAGACCGCGCGGCGCATGTAAATTCCACGATACGCAGTGACTTTCTCAGGGTAGGTACGTGTACCGTCCTAGGCCGTAATCCACCCACCGCCGTCGTTCATCTTCCCGCAGCGCGTCTCCTAAATTGACGCCAGTAATTCACAGGTAATACGGCTCGCATGGTCAGAACGTGACAACGAAAACACTTAACGTGGAACAGGGACGCAATTCAAAGAGGGGTGGACAGATTGTCAATCCGATCGATTTCGGAGCATACTCACCAATCGGAATTAATACAATGGGAATTATCTTTGTTTGGGTGGAATAGATTATAGACTCGTGTGTCTGATCATGTTATCGAACATCTAGTGTGAGATTGGTACACCAGCATAAGCTCCGAGAAAAGATATATTATGTTATAGAAGATTTTACGTAGGATACAGTAAAATTCTGATAATAGTCCCCAATGGGTCGACAGTCTCGATAGTTTGGCATGCGTAGCCTCGAACATGACCATGCCCCACAAACGTCATTCAGCAACCATCGCGATGGTAATAGGTTTAAAAGATTAAATTGCATACATATATCTTATATTTAAATTTTTTTTGTTTTTGTTAATAAATAGCATTACTATATTTTACCATGGCAATTTTTAAAATTTACCTAGCTTTGGCGAATTATAGGTACAGTCCAATAATCTAGCATATTAAGTCCCGGTCGTACCGGAGTATCGAAATTTTACTGTAAATAGTTATAATATTGTTGATGCTTTTAGGTGTAAATTATGACATTTTGGAAAAATTATGCCATCTGTTTGGAAGTACTGCAAATAGCTTTCTCGAGACTTTAATTGTTACCACTTAGAATATCAGGATATGTTAATACTTCCAGCAGCAAAATACGTTTTCCTTGAAGTCTCTGATTTGTAATAGATGAAACATTGTCGGTAAAATTATTCAGAGAATGTTTACAGAATAGATATTGAGGAAGATTCTATATGTTACGTAAACACAGTTTCGCCCATTCTACGTGTTATATCGAAACCGTATTCTCAGAGTAAAAGGATATAAATATTACAAATACACTGTTAAAGTGTTGTCTTTTATCCTTTCGGTACGTTCGTCAACTATGGTCGACGGTCAACAATTTTTATTTAACACGTCACTAGTATCCAAACTACAAAACTACATAGACTGACAGAATTACAACCTCTAGATTCTCGACTACCGATCTTCTATTCCAACAACATTAGATTCTTAACCACTGATTCTCTAGTCCACCATCTCTAAATTCTCCACTACTGGCTTTCTGTTTCGCCAACTGTAGATGCTCAGCCACTGATCCTCTAGTTCACAAGGTTTAGATTCTCAGCCACGGATACTCTAGTCAATCAACTGTAGATTCTCGACTATTAGCTCTCTATTCTACTAGATCTAGATTCTCAGCTACTGATTCTGCAGTATGCCAGGTACAGATTCTCAACTATTGAGTCCCTATTCTGTCAGCTCTAGTTTCTCGACCACTGATCCTCTAATCGGAGGTCTAATCATCAGGTCTAGATTCTTAAAAACTGATACTTTAGTCCACCAGCTCTAGATTCCCAGCCACTAATTCCGAGTAACGCGTCTAAACCGACCTCCCTCCCCCATCATCAAAATCGTTAAGAACAATTCTCCCGTCATTATTTACTGTACTGGCAGACAAAGTATGTGTATACATGATCCTCCAACTGTTTCAAGCAACGTAGTATACAAATCTCAACCCCGTGAATGTTTGTGCTCCGTTCCCAGCTATTCAGAATCCTTCCGCTCGTGAAACCCAACGATAGCACCCCGGGCTACAACGAACGCGTGCATGTAACGCGTAACAAGAATGACACTCACGGTTCGCGTTAAGAGTACTGGATGGATTTCGTCACGGGCTGCGCTGGTATTTCTTTGGCACAAAGCAGCCTCCGCCCAGCGTTAGTTCATCTAACCGTCGTCGTGTCGTGTCGAGTTCTCGAGTGGATACTCGCAAGTTACCCGGCAACTTCCGTCGACGGGATCCTTCTGCATTTCCCCCACTTGAGGCCATTCGGGGCGCACTGATCCCGAACGGAACGGCTTGTCTTAGCCAGCGAAACCAATTACCAGGCCACGGCATATGCCGCAGCGCGCCCGTCGCTCGCGTTTCCACGTGAATGTCGGAAATCAGCCCCGAGCGAGATTTTCTGCGGGGCGCGACCGCCGAAAACAGCGCAGTGGCGTGTCTGCTCGCGCGACAGACACCTTGGAAAATTGCGGATCGCGTAGCGGAAGCGGTTTAGAAAATTGTTTTTCCGCTGACGCGCCTTTATGCATGGCATTTTAGTTGGTAGACAGAGTCGCCTGTGGAAGCGTGCAAGATGGAATGTAGCGAGATCTCCGTTGTGCGTTGCAACGAAAAGAGTGGATATAGAAATTTTGTAGGTAATAGAATACCTCGTTCTTCCTGCTGTTGGTCGTTTCGTGTGGTTGCGCGTATACTCTGTTGGTTGGAAATCGAGATTTGTCAGTGGAGATAGGAGTCATTCTTCTGTAATGATTTTCTAGGTTTATGAAACAGCTGAAGGATGTAATTATCAGGGAATATAGGGGAAGGTTGTCGAATTTGGACCATCGAATATTTTTATCAAATTAAATGTAACTACTATAATACATCATTATTTGACAAGCAAAGTTTTCCAACTAGCAGGTACCGATTTTAATGAAACTTTGTGGGATTGTAGCGGGCATCGAGTTATGTAACGAACAATTTTTCTTATCGGCTGACCCTTACTTTGAGGAACTGAATCCACCCCTTAAAGTTTGCCGAATTTTTCGTTTTTTTTTCAGTAAATCTTGTTAACTGTAACAAATGGGAACAAACATTTAATGGGCGAGTGTCGTGGTTTTTTAAGGACAATATGTTTGTTACAAACAAATTGTATTTTAGACAATTTGTTAGCAGTATATTATTGTACATAAAAAACCACGCCCATTAAAAGATTCTTCCTATCTCTTACGGTTAACACAATAAACTGAAAAGAAAAAACGAAAAATTCGGCAAACTTTAAGGGGTTGTTTCACCCCCTTAAACTGAGAATCGGTCGATAAAAGAATTGTTCCTTGCATAATTCGATGCCCTCTACAATCCCGCACAGTTTCATTAAAATCGAGACCTAGGGATTGGGACACCTTCCTTGTGAGTCAAAACACAATTTTGAAGGAAAAAACATAAATTGTCTGACTCCATTGTAATATAAGTATCAATATAATCGTAATAAATAATTAATAAAAATATTAATTATTCTAATAATAACATAACCATAATCAGTGAGAGAGTACGAAAGAACATGGTTAGATATAAATTATAATAAAAGTGAAAAACATAATTACAAAGTAAGAAGAAAAAATAAAATAATACCATATTTGAACATTTTCAAACGAGGATAAAATCATGAGGGATCAGTTGCTTAGAGAGGAATTAATAATATTTTATAAGAAACTATTAAATAAATTTCCCTCCACTCGAAGCCTTGCTATTGATTAATTTATTATGTAATGTATTCAATATGTTTTCAGTTTTCACTGCAGAATCAAGAGAAAGTAATGATAAAAACGTGAACAAACGTTTTCATCGGAAAAGTTCTCAGATGCTGCCATATTTTCGAAGCTCGAATCTGCATGGCGCTTCATTCAAACGGTGAACAGAAGTTGGCGTGACACTTTGCCGTTCACTTTGTCGGAAAATCAGCATATTTTTGCATAAAATCGTTCCGGAGCGTACCGTCGCTGTTTTATTATGCGATAATCGGTCATCCAAAACGAGATTCAAAATTTTCACGTCAAAATGCTAGCGACTTCAGCCCTCTCGCTTCTTCATTCTAATACTTTGACAATTTTGTGTCAGTTTTTACATTAAAGAAGTCTCTGTGTTTAAATAATGAAGGTGTGCTAGACGAATTCACGAGAATAAAAGTTATGGAAATAAAGAAGTAAGGTGGCTCCCGCAAATTTGTAATTAAATATAAATTTAGTAGAAAGTGTAACAGGACATACATAAAAGCTTTCGATGCATATATCTCCACAGACTACAACATATCCAAGTGTCAACAAAATGCGAAATGTTAGTTAAAAAATTGTCCGATATCGCGTGGGATGCCCCACATAGAGATAATACGATAATAAAAAATACAAATGAATAAAAACACATCAACGATCTATACAAAAATATACAGTTCCATTTAAAAAAGGCGACCTTGAATTCTTTGAAACACCTCCACTTCCGGAGCAGACATATGCGCCACCTGACACATCACACGAAACCATTTAAACTTACCTAACGAAATTTTCTTCTACCTTCTACCGTTTTAAAGACATAGATTGTCCCAGTTACGTGGAACACCCTGTACATCTTTCGTCTCCTTTTCAGATGATGATTCTCTTCCTCATTCCTCCTCCTACTGTTCGAAGCACGCGTTCCTTACCATCTCTTTCTACACTCACGTCACTCGGTGTCCTTCGCGATTAGCGTTGTGTACGGGGAAGTCCCCCTCCCATTTTTCGTTCCGCCGTTTTTCCTGAAGTCAATGGCGTCTTGTAGTATAAAAAATACGACGCGACCATCGGGACCGTAATGTCTCTGCGTTCTCTTACGATGATGGTCACGCGCGGTAGTTCTCGCTGGTTCGTTCGGGCGTGCATCCTCTTGACGATTCTCGTCGCCTTCTGCACGGCACAAGGTGAGAGGATTGTTCGTTGGATTAGACAGATTCATCAGTGACTGTCCATTTTAATGAAGAACAACGTACAATAGGTAAAAAATAAGTATTCGCACACCCTTTCAAACAGAACAACTTTTTTAAAATTGCGCCAAGTGACTTGAGTTTCTAAGTGAAGTTAGAAAGATCAATAAACTAAATGATGAGAAAAAAAAAAAATTTTTTAAAGTCTATTTTAAAGCGTGTGCGAATACATTTTTTACCTTCTGTATATTCGTGACAGACAGTTGTTATTTGTGACGCGTGATTGTGTTATATCGTAAATCTTGTGATTATTAAAATGTCTAGTTATAAACATATGCCATGAATAATTATTAAACTGAAACGCAAATGATTTCCTTTAGGCTTGAACCAATTCCGTTGTCGATGATGAAGGTAGTAATTGATCAAATTGTGAAGATGGATCGTTCGATTATAATTTATAATGCGTGTTAATCATTTGTTAACGATGTGCTAACACTTATACGATTCGATGTTGCTCCTTCCTTAGTAACGAGTAAATTTTCATTTTGTATACCTATACTTGCTGATCACTTTTTTATTACTTCAGTATGAACGATAATAATAACAGTGATGTACTTCCCACGTTGTTGAAACGTTGTGATAAATTTTATTTAATGAATTATACTTTTTAAGTTAATATTTTATTTCATACGTGACAGTATAATGTATTATTCTTATTTTTATTGGATTTGTTATATGAGGGTAACCATACATAACACATTAATAAATGATAGTAATATAAACAATTGTACTAATAATGTGTTAGTATATTATGCAATATACTAATGGACAAGTCTATACACATTTTTTTTATTAATAATCAATATCAATGCCAACATATGTATTCAAAATCATACGTGAAAGGTCGAATGTTCTTTGTAAATAAATAAATGGAGTTGTTTGTATTATCTTCATTTATCGAATGTGGTTTATCATCGCTTCAAAGCAAGGTCAAATAGTATACTACGTGTTTGTATGAAATTTTTTATCTCATATAATTTATTATGTATTCTATAACAAATACATGCATTTCACTTGTTAGTTGTTATTCGTGAATGAAATTGAAATTTGTATAATTATCAATATTTATCAATTACCTTTGAGAATCGTTAGTGTGACATGACAAATCTAACATGTATAACAAATAGAATTTGACAAAACATTTCGTTCCTGTTATATTATGATTCTAATAATTTCGTTCATTTTATGTTCAAAGAAACCAAGGATGAATCAGAGTGTCCAGGACCTCTGAAATACTACAAGTCACTTGATTGTACTCCAGTATACAAAAATCCTACTGACCGTTGTCCTGAGTCGTATGACTGTAGCCATTTGACGAAACTGTCAAAGGACAAGTGTTACGTGAATGGCCACGAATATAGTATAAATGAAACTTTAAGAGAGGAAGACGCAAATCCTTGCGATATAGGCTGCCGTTGTCTGAAGAGTTACTCTGACGAGTGAGTACACTTAAATTATTTTTGTTTTATAACTTCAAGAACTTTACAATTGGTCCAGTAAGGACATTCGGTAAATTGTTTTAGCAGTATTGTCTTTATATCACGTAGACACTTTGTCATTATATTTTCATGAAAACGTGACCAACAGATTCGTGGGATTTTCCTGGTAAAAATAAAACCAAAATACGACGTCATTCGAACTATTCTTAATTCTACTAATTTATATATTAATTAATATGTCGGAACAGTATTGTTATTTTGACGAAAGTCTTTACTAATACACAGCAATTTCTACAGTTCCCCACGTTCGCACAATTTATGTATTCTTGGAAAATTTCTCCTTTTCGAAAGAATCATTAATTGATCTCCAACTGATTTACTATTACATCATTGTGCTGTAACATTTTATTCTGAATTGTTAGCAGTGTAGCCGTCTTTATATGCGCGATAGTAGACTGTTTCCATGGGTCATCTAAACCAGGCTGTTTCTTCAGAAGGTCGCCCAATCTGTGTTGTGCAGGAGAGGAAGTTTGTAGTAAGTAAATTTCGTGTAGTAAACCATATTACAGATTAATATAAACATTAATTTTTCTCACGCCTATATAATAACTTACTTCAGTATAGTTGTTCGTGAAAACTAAGAAATTGGAGATCAACGTAGAAATCAATTTTTCCTGGCAACCATGAAATAATTTACTCCAATGTGGTATGTTATGAAAACGATCACAGTGTCAGACATGTTTCGGCTTTGAATTTAAGTTTATCTTCCTACGCCTTGTGTTTGTCATATAATTTATACAGATTGTTGCACTTACATTGTTTGGCACAAGGACATCTCTTTTCGGAGTCCCTTCCGTGAGCATTTCCGTCAACAATTTGAAACTAATTTCCTTTTTTTTTTATGATGTTGATCAATTAGGAACATATAATAATATTAAGAATACCAATATACAGGGTGTCCCCGAAATCGTGGTACAACAGGCCGGGTGGTGATTCCACATGAAAAAATAAGTCGAAAATATAGAATAACATCTCTTCCTTTAAAGCTTCCTTTTCAAAATAATCGAATTTGCAAATCTGCTGGATACGCGTGCAATTGAGTAGGACTTGGCTAACGCGTCTGTTCATTGCATTCCGTTTCTACTTACTAGTATAACGAATACATACATTTCAGACTAACTTCGAACGAAAGAAATTTATCCTTTTCTTGATTCATTTGTTTCTTATAGAATCTGATAATAGTAATGATGAATTCTAATCAAGAATTCCTTGTTTCTATAATAAGGTAGCTATATAATTTCAATTGAAATAATTTTTTAAAACATAACTAATTTTCTTATTTATTTAATAACACTTTAGTAAACACTACGTTTAGTAGAATATGTTAGATTCATTGGTAAAGTTAATAATAAGAGCCTCTATTAGAGAGAGTTTCAACTTATGTGCCCGGTTCACAAACATTTTGATGTAACATTTTTAGCATCAAATTTAAGGTATTGACATAATCACAATTATTACAATAAATGAATGAAAAAGAAACGAATTTATTGTAATCTTCAGTGGAAGACAAAGAGAGGGCAACTTGCGAGGTAGACGGCAAGGTATACAAAGACGGTGACCACTTCGAAATAAAATCTGATCCGGAGCTGAGTTGTTATTGCATGCCAGGGTACAAAGGTAATATCAATCAAACAAAATACCAATACAACTAATTTAAATTCTCTATAAATCCATTTGCATTTGGAAGATTTGTTCCAATACATTATCTAAATTTTATACTGTATTCTGTTAATAACTGTAATCTCATATGTTTCTTTCTACCTTCTACCTGAAATTATTCTTTGTAGTGCTACATAATATAATCTATTCTTTACTTTATCTTTATTCCACAAGTCACAATTAAGCGAAAAATATGTGACAAATTAATTATAACAATTTCGTCAACTTCCTTAGTATGAATTCCAAACTACCACACCAAAATAAACTTACCAATAAAAAGAAGCATAGTTTGTATATGTTACTTCAAATCAACAAAAATTATATTCCGTAAAACGTAAAAGATTATCAAATTGTACAGTGAATTTATTACATATCAACAAGCTTTTATTGAAATGAGTATATAAGGAATGTAATGGTAGTTCGAATAGGAAAACTTTTTCACCGTTAATTTCTCTATTAGGTGAAAATGTTGAACCCTTCTGCAAGAGGCCAAATCACGATTACTGCAGTCCATTGTTCCGATATGCTGCCAACGTATACAATGGATGTGCGCCCGTCTATTACGATACCCAGAATCCGCGAACGTCTTGCAGCGCGTACTCTAGATGTCGTAAGTTTTTAATAATGACTGCATGTACATTATTACACTGCACTATCAAAAAAATTATTTCTTTAAATAAATCATTCTGTTTTTGCAGCAAATGAGAACGACACTATTATCCGCAATCACGACAGCTCTAAATCCATTGACACAGGTATGTAATTTCAGTAAAATAAATAACTCATGATTTATAAATTGTAAGAAAAACAATTCAATAGTATTTTAACTGTTCTAACAACGAACGTAAACACGCTTACGTTTAATATTCTTCAGATGCATTAACGTGATAATGAATTAACGTCAGAACTGAGTAAGCTGTGCACTGGATAGTTACCAAATTGGAATCTGTCACTTACTAGGTCAGAACCAGAACTGTTAATAGACTATATTGTAATCTACGGGAACATTATCTACAATTTAACTACAACTATGTAGAACTTATCGAGACATTAGAATTTGAACAGAAATTGACTACATTTTAGAACAATTGTAGACATTCTACTGACAATTTAATTATTTGTATTTGAATGTGAACAGTTCAATCCACAGTTGGTGACACCGGTGAAAACTGTTAATAATTGTTTTTCATAAAATTATAACCAAATAGACTACTCGACAAAAACAATATTTCATACGTAATGACCCTAATAGATTAACCAGAAGCACCTTGATTTTTCAGATGAAAGTAAAACGTGTCGTTTCGGTGACATGATCATGAACATTGGTGACGAACTGAACGAGGGAACCGACTACTCTTCTAATTGCATGAAATGCGTGTGCGAAGTACCACCAGTACCAACATGTCAACGACGGCCGTACAACGAATGCTAAAACAGAAAGTCTGTCACATTCAACAAAAAATGAATCCAATCGTGCCACTTACAATAATTATTTACTCTTAATCCTCGATAACATTAAGTTCGTACGCCACCGGTAGGGAGAAATCTATTTCTCTAAATTTCTTTTACTCGAAACACGTTTTTTTTTCATGCTAACTGTCTGCCATTAAAAATAGGAAATTAGTAAATTAAAATATAAACGAAAAACCTGCTGCTACGTTTTAAGCCTCAGAAACCACACTCCAACGCAGCATACGTAAACACCACGCTAGTGCAAATTGGGATATTGAATTTTTGATGATCATAAACTTCAAGAGAATAACAGCAAATTGAACTTATATTTTTTACGGTAATATTTTCTCGGCGATTCAATGGTAATAATTGCAAAAGTGGAAAATAAGTTTTTAACTGTGAAAATTTGTTATAAAGAAATGGTAAAAACAAAACGAACGGACGAAACAATGTTTTGCAGGTGCAAATTCGCACTAGTGTAGTGTCTGAAGGTTAAAATTACGAAAAAAAAGTATGATGTATTCACGGTCCGTGGCCTTGAAGGTTAAAAGGAAGAGCCTTGTGTAACTTCGAAAGACAACGTGTGAAGAATACGACATCGAATACGTGTGATATAAGTGGCGTGCCAAAAGAATGGGACTACAATGTTTTCGTAATAACTTTTAGATTCGAAATTGTACAAACGTTCTGACAATACAAAACACTCATTTGATATTAACGCATAAGTGCATAAGGATAAACAATTTCTGAGAAAGGTATGATGATAGATATTTATTAATATTAACAATGAGGGTGTGTAAAAATATCGGGGCCAAGACTAGTTTTCAATGTAAATTACAAACATTTTTCAAACGCAAATAAAAAGTGTTCATGTTTTCTAACACCTATAAACGATAATTATGTTTAATATGTCGCAGCCATGCCTTTGCCTACCCTTTGTAAACATTTCGTGCTGTACATTGGAACACATCTAATGATATCTACTGATCACGTTTTGTGGTTCACCCTGTATATCAACACCTTTCCAGACACGTAGAGCCCTCTGAGCTCAGCTCGCTTGTATCTATCGAGTAGTCGTTAACGCCCGATTTCGTGGCTGGTATCTAAGGGAACTTATAATAAAGTTGTGCTCCCCCTCCCTCCACGCTCGACGAATCACGCCTTAACGGCGTTTATCCGGTCCCCATATCGTTAGTTACGAGTGTTCGGTTGCACGCATTCGGAATCGACGTGATTCTGGTCGGCAGGACGTGCCATAGTCCCAGATACTGTCCCCTACATTTCTCTCGAATCCTGCAGCCACGAGAGAGCGGAGAGAGCCGTTGCACCGCTCTCGGGATTACGATCGGCTGCAACCACCCTCGAACAGAGAGACCGACACGGTATAATCTGCTGATTTTATCTGCACGGCTATTCATCCGACGCGGATTCACCGGTGAGCCCCGATTTCGCGAACGACTTATTTTCGGGGAAAGGATGACAATCGCGCGACGTCCCTCATATACAGGGTGTCTCAGCTAACTTGATCACCTCGAATAATGATGTAACGATACACTTTATGAAAATTTTGAGGGGTGGAACTTAAATGGCATCAAGGGAATGACCTAGTTTTTGTACCGTAGATCGATAGAGTATCAAATTTGGAGTAAAAATGTCTTGACCTTCATAGGTCCTAAACCCAATAGTTAACGATATATTTAGAAAATAATTTTTAATACGTACTTACTATCTGGAAGCTATAGGTTCTCGAACTGATGACCCTCAACTTCAATACAGTGATTATTTTTGTAAATATCCAGTTAATTATTAGATTTAGAAGGTATGAAGGTTAACACATTTTTACTTAGAATTTAGTATTCTGTCGACCTGGTGTACAAAAAATAGGTAATTCCGTTAAAAAAAATAAAGATGACCTTGAAATCTCTGAAATGCCTCCACTCACAAAAAAAGGACGTACCTTATAATATGCGCCCCTTGATGCCATTTAAAGTTCCATGTCTCAAAATTTTTTTAAAGTATACCATTAAGTCATTATTCGAGGTGATCAAGTTAGTTAAGACACCCTGTATACCTGGGGGCCAGAATGTTTACGGAGCACGGATATTACGCAATCTTGATGGAAAATCGGGTACGCAGTGGGTCTCGTCTGCCTTGATTAGTTAAAATACTGCTTTGTAATCAGATCAAGCTACAATTACCGTTCATAAGTATTCGGACACTGACACTTCCGTCCAAAGCAGACTGGACTCTAGGTTGTCTCGTGGAATATGAAAATGGAAACAGAGATGGAATGTTCTGAATTCATTTTACTAACGTATTTTACTTTTATACACCGCGTGGCATAACTATAAAACCACTCTAAAATTTTCAATCCTTATGCATTGTGGTTAAAATAAAAACGAACCAGGTATGTCATGTTTGAAATTACGTTGAGAAATAATGTATGCAAAAATTTCTATTCTATTCTCGGGTCGATCATCAATAGTCTGTGTGAATTTTGCAAGAAGACGGTGTTATCGTCGTAAATCCTGATACGTGTATATTACAATCTGGAAGTTGGGAGTCACGTGTCATTGAAAATAAAAATATTATACTTCGTGCGACACGTTACGAAAAATAATACGTGCTTGGGGATTCATAGAAGAAAGGCTGTAGAGTATTAGAATAGCTGTGGGAACAACTTTCTGTATACTAAGAAATTTAAAGTGATCCTAAAACTTTCAAATGGCAGCGTATGTTTCAAACCTCTATAGTTTAAATTCTTCACTCAGTTTTTTCAACTTTGTTCTCTAAGTCGCACAGAAACAAACTCTGATTAAAATGTCGTATTAATTTTCAATTATTATTCTACCATCGCGAATCATCACTAGTTTTTTTCCATATTAAAAATATACAAATGTTTCACGTTTATATTCTGGTAACTTTTGTAAAATAACTGCAAACAACATGACATAAGTAATATAATTTTGTGTAAAAAGAGCCGAATAAATATACATTCATAAATGTTCTCTTGAAAAAAATATAAAATTTCATAAATCATTTTGTTCATTAAGGGTTTTAATGCACTAAAAAAAAATTAATACCTTTTTGTTTACACCAATTACGATTTAGAATAAAAGTTCCATTCTCTTTGTAAATAATCCTAAAAGTTCCTTTTCATTAGAAAAACAGTTTTTTAAAACTATGCTTCATTTTAAAAAGTAAATCATAATCCCTCTTAAAAAATTATTAACAGACAGGTACACTTTATTTTGTTTCTAATGTCATAAATCGTTGAAAATGTATGCGTTTTGTTAACAGAAGCTGTTAATCGTATTTCAAATTATATTGCAATATTAAATATTACGGAAAAATTTTTAACTCTGGGAAGGGAGGGGTTGGGGCAAAATCCAATTTTTTTCTTGTAGGGTGGGGCAAAAGCCACTTTTTTCCGTCCCGGCTACGCTCATGCCTACGAAAAAAATACGAGTCGGAAATATTTTTTCGACTCGATTTCGTTCGCTGGCCGAGCCACCGCAAGAATATCATTCCGCGCAGATTTATTCCCATCTCGCGCTGAATAATCGACATCCGCCGGGCGGATCGATTCTTTACACGCCCTAAAATCTGTCTGGCTCACCGGGCGTCTACGTAGCCGAGGTATATAACGCGAGACCGTCTTTGTCCCCGTTTCTCAACGGTGACGCCCGTGTCGACGTCTGCTACTGCACAGTTTTGGGTCTGAAATTACATGCAGGGGACGGCTCGTCGGATTTGATAGAAACGGACGGGGGATTTTTCAGGTCGAAACAGATTAAAGGAGACGCTCCGGTTTAGTAGGAAAATGTTTCATTTCCCATTTTATTGAAAGAGAAGTCGTACCCGTTTTACTGATTCGACGAGGATTTTAGTGCAAATGATTTCTTTTCAATTTGTTTATTTATCGTCGCATCGACTAAGAGTTACTAGCAACTACAATTACCAATTATTTATATGAGTTATCCAGTAATTACAAAAATATAATGTGATACATAATGTGTCTTACGTATCTGTATATGTATATAAGGAATGGTTAGAATATAGGCTAATATAGTTTATCATGGTTAATTACAGAGTTTTTTTAGGTCTGCGTCGTAGATGAATGATAAAACTTTTATGGTTTCTTCTGTTTTATCCAAGCAAACCTTTTTTTCTCAATCTATAAATACGGAAACTACTCCAATTAATCGAAGAAACAAAACTACTACTAACAAGCATAATACAACTGAACATTATCATCGCTAATAACCTTCTGTAATTGCTGCGACATAAAAGAATGAGAGAAAGAAATAACTTTCATAAGTTTAATCGTGCGTTTACATTGTCCTTGGTCCAATACAATCCACGGTGGAAGAAAATAATTTTTCCAAATTAACCTTTTCACAAATTACTGTCTGCAAATACGAATTCGTATAAACATCATTGTCATGTCAATATAAATTAAAATATGCATTCCAGTTGTTAAAAATATTATTTGATCATTATATAAAAGGGTGAATATGCAATCTCATTCAGTCAAGTAGTACGAGCGTTCATTAAACGATGGGAAAAACGAAGAATCAGCAGAATTAGGAAGAATGTGAAGGAAAATCTCGTTCTAACCATGGAAATCAGTTTTGCTCATTCCCCAAAATCAACGATTTGAATTCCTGCCGCTATCTTTGCGTTCGCGTTGTACGCCGCAGGCGGACGAAACTTCGGTGAAACTTCTTAAACTCGAGAGCGAGACTGCGATAGTGGACACGGCCGAGCCGATCCTCGTGGAAACAGGTGTAACAAAAACGCGGACGGGAACGGGGGAACGAAGGCCGAATGTTTTAAAAGTTCCTCACAATTTCTGGCCAGGTCCAATTTGAATTTTAAAAGTGGTGGTAAATTACATAATATGACATTTAATGCGGGTTTAATGAAAATTCATGGTTCGCGGAAATATCAAGAATGTAATTATACTTGGACGTTTATCTTGAGGAATGCACACGAAGGAACATTTCGTAGTAAAAGCACACCATCCACTGAAGTTAAAGTAACTAATGTTCATTCGTGACATTGTCACCGTTGTAATTGCGAGTATATGCTAATTATTGCTTTAACTGCTGTATAATGAGAATAGTTCATGCTTACGTTAGACCTTGCTTTATCTATCGATTCGTTAAATCTAAGTAATTACTTACATAATCTAACTTTTATACAAAAATTAAGAATTCCTTTAAATATTGACAATGAAGTAGATTTTAATTATTTGTCATGTATTAGCCTGGTATATAAGGTGTGGCTGGAAATGTGATCCAACCGGACAGAAGATCATTGTCCATGCAAAAATAAGTCTTAAATGATATCACAGTCTACCAAATGTACACTTTACTACATTGTAAAGTGCATAAAGGTGTTTTAAAAAAACCTTACTCGTAAATAAAACGCCCAATACTTCTTGAATTTTTAATTCTATAAGAACAAAGAATTAATCAAATATGTCATATTTCCAATAAAAAGTTTATTACATCAAAAATCAACTAAACATTTTTTAATGTTTTGACTGTAACCTTCAGATAGCATCGACTATTTGGTCGTTAACGTTGAAGATTAGCCTGTGTTTAATTTAATTGCGATTATACTACCTGTTCACAGGGCAAAGTGACTAATTCTACTGTTTGAATTTTGTAATAATACCGATCGTATTACGTATAAAATTTTCAGTTTCCAGACGCTAGGGAGCTATACTTTGAAACTACCGATTTCAGACCGCTTGGCGTCCCATGGATAACTCTTTCTGGCTTATACCAGACGTTGAGAGCCCAACCATACTATCTCAGACACCATCGCAAACTTCTAATTGAGAGAATAAGCAGACACGGTCCCCTGATAATTGAAA